ATTCGGATGTATCAAAGTATTTTTTTTTTTTTTAATCAATTGGAGGCTCAACAACATTTTCGATCGGTTGTGAAAGCTTCTGAAAGTTATCGTATGTTTCAAAGGAATAGTCACTATCGTTAAAACGTTTAAACCAATTTGGGACACTTTTATTCAGATACTGGATCGTCTTCTTCCACCTCACGAATTATCCGTACAGATTCAGCGGTTTAAAATAATACCTCAAAATAGTTACAATCTTAATAATTGTATCCACCATTATAACACCTGAAACAAAATATACAACTGAACAACAACAGCAACGATAACAATAATAATAAGGATAACTAATAATACTCATGAATATTCCACGGATTTCCTATCAGAAATTTCTGATGAAGCTTAATTCTTTACTTAAACTCCTTGTGAGTTCTTCAACAATAAAATATATTAGGAAATTTCTGTTTCCATGTTAAATATTTGGGCCTAACATTTTCAACAAAATATTATAAAGACGATTATGAATATTAATGCAGGTCATCACTTAAAGAAGTAAGAGGGTACAAATGAAGAGATTTCACTGAAGTAAACATTAATGTTATGAGAGTGTTATCACATATTCTGTCTTTGCTTTTTTCTTTCTTTTTACTTTCTTTCTTTCTTTTGTCTTCCTTTCCCTAAAACCAAGCGATACCCTTGATATATCTTTTCTTCTGTCTATTCTCGCAAACAAGAAAGACCCATTGTTGCTCTGAGGTAATGTCAAAACATACGTCCTAACGAACCGTGGAACAAAGGATCAAGCAGACTTCTAATAATAATAATAATAATAATAATAATAATAATAATAATCATTGGAAAGACCACAAAAATAGAATGCACTTTCTTATTGACATGCCTCTTTCTGCAGACTGTAATGCAGCTTTGAAGATTTTCAAAAACTTTCAAAATGCAATTAAATTGAATTGGAAAATATAAAAAAATATAGAACCTGAACATATCAGTAATTCCAATTTTGGATTCTTGATTGGGTCCCTGGATTGAGGAAGACATTTCCAACATCCGACTCATCTGGGATAGCCACACCTAATTTTCCCCCTAGAACTGAGGCTATACTGAATGAGATGTGCATAACCTCGTCGATGGTATCAGATATCGTCTCTAAATTAGACTGTCATTAAGCAAGTGGTGGTGACAGGATACCAGCTGCAGTCCTAAACAAATGTGTCCCTGAGCTGGCTTCATTTCTCTCCAAATTATACAACCACTGCTTCACCCATTCTTTCTTTCCACCTTGTTAGAAGTCCTCCTCTGTCGTCCCGGTCTTTAAGAATTCTGGAGACCCTTCTGACCCATCTAACTACCACCCCAATACTCTTCGGCAAAGTCTTCGAGTCTCTAATCAATGCTGAATTTGTTAAACATCTCACCTCCCACGATCTGCTTTCTGACAAACAAAATGGTTTGCGCTTTTCCTGGTCTACTCATGATGTACTTACTGCGATAACTGAATATGCATACCAAACTCTGATATATATATATATATATATATATATATATATATATATATATATATATATATAATTGTTTATTTAAAAATATTATAACTCTGATATATATATATATATATATATATATATATATATATATATATATATATATATATATATATATATTGATTATTTAAAATATTATAACATAAATATGTTATAAAATCACTACAAAAATAGCCATTTTGTTCAACACATGCAGTGTCTTATCAGGTTATGATGTTTCAACATCATCACCTGATAAGACACTGGAGGTGTTGAAAACGAATGGCTATTTTTTAGTGATTTATAATATATTTATGTTATAATATTTTTTAAATAAACAATTATATTTGCTCTACTCTGTAATGAGTACTCTTTTAAGAATAGTAATTGTTGGTTATTGGAATTCATTCTGTATACACCAATTATATACTTGTATATATATATATATATATATATATATATATATATATATATATGCTCTAGATATATTGAAGGCGTTTTTTCAGGGTTTGGCAAGCTGACCTTCTACGTAATCTTCAGGGATACGGTATGAAATGAAGGTTGTCCTGAACAGGTCCTCTTCCAATTCCTTCCATACGAACGCTGGTGTCACCCAATGCTCTATCCTTGGTCCTACACCGTTTATGATCTTCAATGATCTTTCTGACGTCATCAGTTCTCAAGTCGGCATCTACGCAGACGATACTACCATTTACTCCTGTCTCAATAGTAAATCCGGCATTTTAACAAAGTGAACCTGGCCATTGGTCTCGTGAACGGCCTCCAATCTGTGCTTGACTGGGGCAGGAAATGGCATTTGAATTTTGATGCATCAAAAACGAAATTTACTCACCATAGCGAAAAGTCGCTTTCTCCTATCAGCGACTTGGTCTTACGTTTTTCACTGATTTGGAAAGCTGAAACTGAATGTTTTATTCTTGCTCATGATCAATGCTTGCTAACTAGAAATTACCAAGCACACATACTGTAAAATTGTGTTGGTCCCAAATTCAGATTCTGTGATAAATATGCAGAAACAATTGACCATCTTGTATCAGGTTTCACGGTGTTAGCACCAACTGAATATAAAAGTCAGCATTGATAGAGTGGGCCAATATCTACATCGGAAAATATGCCACTTTTATGGGAAGGAAATTGCAAGATGGTATGAACATCAACCAGACCCGGTTACAGAAATAGGACCTTACAATACACACAGACAGAACAATCGAAGCTAATTGACCAGCCATTGTGATCAAATACCACAAAAACAGTATGTGCTTTCTCATGACAGTCCCGGTAGATTGTAATGTATCTTTGACTATCTTCAATCAATGTACAAAGATTTTGAAGTAAAAATCACAAAAACGTGTCACATGAGGACGTCAATAATTCTAGTTTTAGTTGGAACCCTAGGATTGTTTGCAAAAGGTTCCGGGAGATTCAGTGAAGTGATCTTTGTTTTTTGTTCTTTTTAAAAAAAATGTTCATTGGGTGACTTCATGAAGTCATTTCTGACCTTAGGTCTCTGACTGGGACCTGGAAGGAAATATTTATACAACAGAAACCGAAGGAAATAATAATAATAATAATAATAATAATAATAATAATAATAATAGAATGGAGATAATATATAGATGATATATATGAAGAAGAAATAACCTTCTATGTAAAGGCTTTTAAGAAAAGGAAATATAATTAATTAACCCTAATACTATGTTCAGGCAGCGTATTAGCCAATTTCCAATATATGTATTATCAGATGAATTTATATCATCTGATTCATGACTCTGTATAAGGATATATTAACGAAACGCGAACTTAGCTAAGACTTTGTAACGTTTCATGAAACATTTCTACCTATGTGTACATAGGGAAAACAACAATAATAAAAACAGCAACAACAACAACAACAACAATAATAACAATAATGATAATAATAATAATAATAATAATAATAATAATAATAATAATAATAATATAGATAATAAGACTAATAATATTTATCGTATATTAATAGGTCTTTTGATCAAATGAAACTATGATGAGAAATGTTAAAAGTCTGAATTTTCGGACGCGCCTGTGTTCTTTCTCAACGAGACAAGAAATATACTACAAAAATCACCCACTTACCAAGGCGACGTAATGTGTCATAAAGCTCGATGCCAACTTTGTAAACATTATCACCGATAGTATTTTTATGCCACCTGGCCCAAACATATTAATCAGTTCCTTTTGACTTGTGACAATTCAAATATATTTACTTTTTGTAAAAATGCAAAACAGGAAATATTATAAGGGAAATACGTACGGAATTCCGTCTTCGGTTTAATAATCATAAAAAATATATATATATCAAAGACAACATCAATTTTATTCTAGCTGCACATTTCAGCCAACCGGATAATAATATTGATAATATGTTTACAAACTTAACATCGGGGTTTATTACACATCATCCTGCGTAAGGGGATGGTTTTTGTGGTCTGTACAATGGGGAAAAATCTCACTTCATTTTTTATTTCTTGTTTCGTTGAGAAAAGAACACAGGCGTGTCCGCGAATTGTGATTTTTAATATCTTTCTCGTCAGGCTTTCATTTTTTCAAAAGGCCTACTAATAATATACAATAAATCATATTAGGCTTATTATCAACAGTATTATTTCTCTAGAATTTCTTTCACCAGTTTCTTATATCTAAATATTATAAGAAGCATACGAGGAGAATATTTCATAGACCTATGATAGCTACAAATTATGAGAAGCATATGTGGACATTATTTCTTTACTATTATATATATATATTCAATCAGAAACAATAGAGTTCACAATGCTTATCTGAGTAATGATTTCGCACTCGTCAGGAATTGGATAAGATATATTGTACTGATACAAAATGTCTGTTTTATTATATTATAGACATGAAGTGAACATTTATACACATGAAGTGAACATTTATACACATGAAGTATGTAAAACTGTCCAAATATTCGGCATATACGAGCGCTTTCCGACATTCTATTAGCCGTTATCAGGGATGTTGTTTATTTCAATTTTAAATTATTTTTATATGTGTATCTGTAGCGATGAAAATGTTTTTGTTTTATCCAAACACGGTCAGCACGTTGTGGTCGTGTTCATAGTTTATATTATAGCGTGTTGGCATTTTCTTTTTCATTATTAATGCTTCCGTTATTTTTAGCCATTTCTATATGTGGATTAGGTTATGTTCGTCTTTTCTACATGTATGTTTCAAACGGATTTTGGTCCTAATTGGGTTATGAGATATTGTATGTAGTGGTGCCTGTAATGTAATTTTTTCAAAAT